AAGGATTAATGCAAACATATTTCCAAATAATGTATGGAAGTCGATAGATGATGTCGCTACTGGCAAAGATGATCTTCCGTACAGCGTCAAACTAAACTAACCGCTACTCTGGCATGTATTACCATGACGAGGTTAAAGGGTTTTGCTATTCCAGAGGTCAACACATGAACAGTGTTGAAAGAAGAGCTGCCCTCCCATCCAAGCCTGTTATTTAGCTTTTAAATGCCATTTCAGGGAATATCATTAGAGACCACCTCAACCTTTTCACAAAATCACCAGCTACGATAGCTGTAAGCCCAAGAGGAGTACAGTATGCATCCACAGACAAAGATATACTGTGCATTTGATACATTTGATTCCAGTGTAACTTGAGGCTAGACGCAAATATAAATCAAGCCATTCACTAATGCACTTGAGCAGGCAATCAACAGTATCTTCCAAATTGCTGTATTATACAGGACTTTACATTAACGGAATATGTTAAAAATGTGTGTGGTAAATGCACCTCTTTGAGTGAATAAGTACAGTAAAGCACAGGAAAAGGGAAGGTTCCAGTGTAACACCACTTATGTCTCTGTCATTTTCTCACTGAGGCATGCTAATAGCGCTCTCAAGCAGTCTGAACACCAAATTAAGGGAGGTCACTCTGCCTCATCTCCTGCGCTGATGGCTGAGCATACAGAAAGGATGAGTCTGCGGACTGTGAAATACTGGAAGTGAGGGGACAGCAGGGTCAGGTCCTGTGAAGACAGTCCCACTTAAACACCATTAGGGAAGACTAAAGTATCTAGAGACACCCAGAGATTGGTCTCGTTATGTTAGTCTGTGTGCTCTTGTACTTTTATCCTTTTAATTTATAAATGTCTTCATTATGATGGATCGTCCAAAGTGACAGAACTTTACTGTTCCGCACTTCTTTCATTGACTAATTTCGGATTTGGCTCAATGTGTGTCTACAGTATTTTGCACTGTCACCTGCACTGCACACATTATGTCCTGTGAACACCTACTTTCCTGTGTGACAGCAGCACGAGTCTGCTTGCCTGGTTCCCACCTCCGGCCTCCTCCCCACCTTCCCCAGCCCTTCCTCACTCCTGTGCCAGTCCTAGGTGTTCATTCTGACTCAGGCACTCTGCCAAACAGCCACATCCACAGAAAGCGTTGGTCCGCGGGCCTCAATTTTCACCCCAGCGTGTGGACCCCGCACCCAGCAGCACTTTTCAATTAAACAGACCGGAAGGTGAGGCCGGGTGTGATCCTAACGACCTTTGCGTCAAACCCCGGCTGTTGCTGTCACACTGTGCACACACAGGAGATTTCACTCAGTACCACATTTCCTCCTCTTTAATTCACCTCTTCTGCTTTTGTTCCTTTCTCTTTCTCCTTTTTTAAGGGAGAAATCATCTCCGCCAGTACTCGACCCTTTCACCCCCAAAGGCAAAAGGAGGGTGGGGATGGGAGGAAAGCAGGAAAAGAAAACAAAAGTGTCAAGAACTAATTTTATTTGAGCAGGGAGTCAAGCAGAACATACTGTATGTTCACCACCTGCTAGCTGTGGATTCAGCCTCTTGACAAGCTGCTCGATAGATGGTGTGTGTATGTGTGAAGCTAAAGCTGACAATATCACAGCATTGCATGGCAAACAGTGAAAGGAATTACCTCTGAATATTGATTAGCTGAAGGGGTGCACCTAAATACTTTACACACACACACACACACACACACACACACACACACACACACACACACACACACACACACACACACACACACACACACACACACACACACACACACACACACAGCGGATAGTTCTGAATGACAGCCCAACACTACCGGGAAGATAAAGGCAAAGTGCCCTTACAATCAATATGATGGCACTATACTGGCTTAATAGCACCTTTCTCCTGTGTCATTTTGTGCTTTTCTTTGCTGTTGCCATGGTTATTATAATTCCTATAATTCATTCAATTGTACCTATCCCCCCAGAGAACCAAGACCTATTACTACTGTTTCAGAAGAAAGGCAGCAAACTAGCTGTGACTGCTGGGAATAGACGAGACAGTCCAGTTTATGATCAATACCTGGGTTTGGTGAGATAAGGCATCCATAGGACATCTACAGCTATTTGAAGTTTTTAACAGAAAATAGGAAGCCTAGAAATAAAAATCATAGGTTGGCAGAAATATGGAGTTTACAATTTCACTGTATTGACTTGCTGCCATCTGAAATAACTCACAATCAAAGTCCGATCTTAATTCTTGAACAACAAAACCATCCAATCCCATTTACCTCAGTGGTCCACTTGTAGTAGCACACAGGCAGTATAATGGAGCAGAGGAGCAGAGGGGAGGAACTGATTTGGTTAGTTCCTCCGCTTAAGATGTAAAATGCTTCAGAGTTTTGCTTGTAATCACTATATGCTCTTAGGAAAAATGTACGCCTCACATCAGTGGAAACTGAGCATAACCTGATGGAGTGGTTGAGTGAGTGTGCCAATGTACGCATGTGCATGCAGGTACAGTGTGAGCATGTCGCACTGTATGTGCGCCCTACCATATCCCAAACTCCACATGTCTGGCCTTCATGATTCAGTAATTTAGCAGGTCTAGATACACTCCACATCGAGCTGTCAGTCAAGCCCTGCCGGCTGTGTGCTTCCTGACCTTGCCGAGCCGATCTCAGCATCTGTCCTCTAACCACAACTGTCACATTTCACACACCAGGCAATATGTCTGAGCCCTTCTGAAATAACATATAGAAGAAGATAAAGAGTGGAAACAGCTATTGTCTGTCAAGCCTGCAGAAATTTACCATCCACAAAGAAAAATACATTTTATAGTGTCGTACTAAGTGATGAGACGGTAATAGGCAATTTTGTAAGATTATAGTTTCAAAATGTGTCCATGTCTGCTTATTTATTGCCTTAACTCAAGCTAGAGTGGGTAAATGTAGCAGACAGATTTTTTAGTTAAATTTAGAAATGGAAAGAAAAAACAATCCACATGTTGGATGAGCATGAATGAGTAAGATGTGTCAGGAATATTGATGCTGTTTGCTTTCAAAGTCAATTTTGTGACATCTGATCAAGGTTAAATAGATCTTAGCTCTGTGTTGTCAGTGAGAAGCAAGGTCACTGCCACTTGCTTGTGGGCAGAACACAGAGGACAGAGAGACAGCACTTTCTTCTTCAAAATTTTCTTAAAATATACCTACTGTGGTGCCTGCTTTGATTCATTCTAGGGACAAAACAAAATACCTTTTTTGCATTTTCGGTAAATTGAAAATTTAAAAGGAGAAAAGGAGGATCAGATATTCAGTAATTGCAAAAACATTTGACCAACGCTTGGAAGCAGACAAATTCCTGCTTCTATCAGGTGCTGCATTTTACCTCATGAATAAACTCAACTTTGACTGCATCAGAAATCCAAATAACAGAATTGTGTCAGTTTAAAAAGATGAAAACCTGTCACAGAATGTAGGCACAGGTTAATGAGGGAACCACTCAGAGACAGCCTCGAGACAGAGGAAAAAAAGGAACTGACATTTTCTTGCTGCAAGACAAGCTGAGTCAAAGATCTGAGACACCGCCGAGCTTCAGCTGTGATAACTTACTGCTTTAGCACCCACTCCACCCCCACCCGTAAAACTTTTCCACTTGGCTCATTTGACTCCCACTCCGCAGGATGAGATGAGTGCTGGGCGCCCTTGAAGTTTCAGTGGCAAGAAACTTTTCCATCAGTGCGCCCACAGTTGCCGCTTATGATCACAGTGGCATTCTGAAAAGCCTGCGTCGGAAAAGCCAGTGGAATAAATAAGCCAAACTGAGAGGAAAACCCAGCCAATTTGAGAACATTTGATTCAGGATGGAGGAGAAAGATGCGACGTAAGAATGAAAATGAAAAAACAGGGGAGAGGGAGACAGAGGGAAAGAGAGTGTCAGGGGCAAGCCCTATTGATCTGGAGGCTTAATTAACCATCAGAAGTCTCTGACACAGCCTCTGATCTTCTGTGATCAGTGGCAGAGTGGCACCACTCTGGGGGAGATGGTGGGGAGGGGATAGGAGAGAAACAGGAGTCGGAGAAGGGGGGAGAGGAAGAAAGTGTAGATCATTGACAGATTACAAATTCACTTCCTCCAAACAAAGGAGGTTCGGAAAGGGTTACGGAGTTAGAGCTGAAAGAGGAGAAAGAATGAGTGATGAGAAAATCATGAGAAGAAGGTTCATCAGAGGGGAGAAAAAATGGTTTAAGGAAGATTTGGGGAAAGAAGAATGGGGGAAATCTGTGTGTGTGTGTGGGGGGGGGGAGAGACGAAATAATGGGAAGGGGATGGGAAGGTCAGACCCTGCATGTGTTGAGAAAATGGGTGTGGATTCATGCAACTACACTGCATCATCCCCCACAAACGGGCCCTCCCTACACTGATGCAATCCGCTTCGGCGTCTGTGTGTATGCACGTGTGAAAGGTCCGTCGAAGTTGAGATGACAGCAGCGGCTGGTCGAGGATTGAATTGCCAATTCTAATACACCTGAAGAGACGAGATCTTAGCTCGCTGATGTCAGCTGGGTACAATGGGAATTGACCCGAGTGAAGCTAGTCGGGAGTGGAGTGAAGGCAGTGAGGATTGGGGATGACGTTAATTCCAGAGAGGTTTTGAATAGTGAATTTGCGTACCTTGGGATGCAGGACAACGAAGGGGGGGATGAGGCTCTGAAAGTAATGCAGGTTGGGGGAGCTATCAGAGACACTTCAGAAGTGGGCTGGATGTTAAAATTGATCAGGGAATGTCAGTTAATAGACAGGATCAATTCAAGGGAAAAATACATGCAATGAGCATGAGGTTAGCAGATCAACCACACTTCCCATCAATGTGAATGGGGTTGTGACCAGCCCAAAAAAATCTGATTTGTTGAGTCCTTTTTTTCTAAAAGAGGTTAAAAGAGCCACAAATGTGCTGAGAGGGGGGGTGAAAGAACATTGCTGATACATGACTCACCAATGCGTCCCATCATATTAGTCAGCGGCGTGGAGATGTTGTCCAAGCCTTCGATGGTTTCATACAAGTGGGAAATCCGGCGCTCATGGTTGTCCAGTAGAGAATTCACAGGATGCTCTAAAACTGGTGGGCTGCCAGGGGCTTCCTACAGAGACCGGGAAAGAGATGAAGAGTGGGCATGGGGTTTACACATTTAATCTGATAAAATGTTATTTCCCTTAAAGGGCCAATATATAAAAGTATCACCATAAACATTTGAAGTATAGTCACATTTGCAACAGAAAAGTTTGAGTCATTTATGAATAATCTACAATTTCTTTGCTTCTCAACTGACATTAACTACGATACGACTCCATGAAAGCTAATGCTTCACTACACAATTTTACAGCATTAAAGTACATTATTACCTTATATCAAGCTATTATCTTGCTTACTGTATTCTGTATATCAAAAGAACAGTAAACTGTTTGTTTACATTTGGATTGTGTATTGTGCCATTGAAATAATCAATAATGTCATGTTCAGAAATGTTTCTGCATTGATAATAAATAGTTATCTTGGCTCACTGGAAGAATTCATTTATTGATTATTTGTATAGTATATATGTATCGTATAAACTATGCAGACACAATCAGATTCACCCAGAAGAAGAAATGGGTCTGCATAATATGGCTCCTAATGTGACGCCATCAATACTCCAGTAACATGGAACCGGGGCTTCAGCGTCCATCTAGGCTTACGTCGGTATTTTCTGGCTCAGCAGTGTGAAACGGCTCCTGTAGTAGTTGGAGCTAGATAAAGCTCCATGGATTTCCCATAGGCCAATAGACAGCTGTCTCTAACAATGAGCACCAGTAAATGGACCAGTGACATTTGCCATGTGGTCGATATGCCGCACTGCTGGTTATTGAGCCCACTGTACACTCAGTGCATGTGTCAATCTTGACAGGGGGACACGGTTAGTGGTTAGTCTTTGGGTGTGGGACCACTGGGCCCAGATACTGTGTCCAGTCTTCCAATAGTCTGTCAAATGTGGTATTCTTAGGATAAAGAGAATGGAGCTACCACAGCAAGAGTCAGGAAGTAGAGAGGAGAAAAATCTCACATCCACGTGCAGAGAGTTAGAAAATAAAGCTCGGTCCTTGGCCTTATTTCCCACAATGCTCCATAGGAGCCTGTGGGCAGCCGCGGGAATGCACTGAACTCCCTGTACAGGACCTATTACAGATAGCTCCCTCACAGCTAGATAGTCTTGCACAGTTCAACTCTGTACCTCAAGCATGCTTTAAACCAGGAGGCCCTGGCTAATATTGATGTCTCACAACACTCTGGCTGGCTTCCGGCCAAGAGAAAGGGGAGTAAAATATCAGACAACAACTGCAGCAGGAAGACAGGACAGCAGGAGGAAGAGGAGGAGAGGACAAGAAGAGGAGGTGGTGGGGAGCTTTTTGTAAACAAATGGAAGGAATACCAAGAAAAAGGAGGATTGTGGGGATGCGTGCGGGTGCTGCCAAGTCGCCTTCTCGTGGGAGTAGAGTGCCCTGGGAGACACATACCAGGGTAGAGGGACTTATCGGCTGTTTAATATAAATGAGAGGTTTAATGAGGTTGAGAGCGCAGGACTTTATCGGAACAGCGTGTTGATAAGAGCGAGTTGCGAGGAGGGAAAGAGGCTGTGTGTGTGTGTGTGTGTCTGTGTGTGTGTGTGTGAGTGAAATGGGGGGCTGGGTCAACACAATTACAATCGGAGCCACGGCCACTGCCAGCCTTATAATAAAAAGCATGTCCCTGGATGATTCAGACTCAATAAGGTTCAAATTGTCGAAATGAAGATTTATTTTACTCACTTCTCTCTCTTTTACTCAACCCCTCTCTGCACTTTTTAATCTGTTTCAGATCTGGAGACTTGTCATTTGTCATGAGCTAAAAAGAAGTAAGATGGAGGGTTTTAGTTAAGAGGTAGGAAAATGTGTGGACAGAGTGGAACAGAGAGCGAGCAGCTGAGAATCAAATGATATGAAAGCTATGTATAGTATGTGTCAAGAGGAATAGATCTCGGAAAGACAACAATATTTCTGTCTTGCTATCTCTGAGAGTTGAACAGGCTTATTTTAAAAGTATTCATTGGCTTTTATGGCAAATAGACTTTGGAATCAACTTAACACAGAGGCAAAATGGCAGCAATTTAATCTTTGTGTATCCAATATTAATTAAGTCCGCTTCTGTGCATGCTAATGCTCTAGCACACCGTGCATGTTTACTGACTTGTGAAGGTTTACTGATTAGTGCATGACAAGCTGTGACATTTTCATGCAAAATCTGCACTCTTTGTTGTCACCTGATATTTAGTATGAAAGTAGTGATTCAACATTTAGGTCCATTCTGAGGAAATATGTTCTGATGCCTGGGAACAGATGCACTTTGCCATTCCTGTAGCACAGGCAGCAGGTTAATAAAGTAGTGCAATGAGCAGAAGATTTGGATTAGTCAACATGAGCATTATTCATCACAGTTGCCTCAAAACAAGTGTTAACCAGAGAAAAATAAACATCAACAAAAACATCCAAGGAAAAAGAAAAAGCTTTGTGGTATCACACTGCTGAAACCCAACAAGAGCAGCAGCAAGTTGATCAAGGGGCTTATTTGTCCAAAAGTGGATGTGTTCGTTTAAGTTTTTCAGTGTGTTTGTTGAGATTTTAGAGCTTTCTTAACACTGGTTCTCATCACCTCATCATGTGTTTAATCTGTCTTAATCTAGTCATTTTCAGAGTGGATTATTCTGTTGACAGAGGGAGAGGGCAGAGCGCTGTGACTTACACTGAGCCCAGTCAAGATCATCTGCTGCTCAGCTCCCACTGGACTCACTAGACATGCCTGTGTGCTTTTGTGTTCCAGGTAATGCTGTTGTTTGTCTTTGCGAGACACGAAGTGTGTGTGTGTGTGTGTGTGTGTGTGTGTGTATACCTGTATTCATGTGCATGTGTTTAAATGCATTTGTGGTAAATGCAGACTCATGCACAAATGTGTTTTTGCCTGGGCATCAGCATCTGCCTGACCTTGACTACTAAGTGTAGAGAGGGAGAAGGAGCCGTGTGTTGACAGGGCTGGTCTTAAACTGTCAACTAAGGCTAATAATGTCTAGTCCATGGCCATTTCCTGGTCTTCAATCCTGGTCTCAGCCTGTTCCCGTGGCCCTAATCCAGTCAACCTCCACCATAATGCTGTAATTACAATCCTTAAGCTGCTGCATCCTGCCTTGGGCACAACTCACCTCTCTGCTGGCTAGATACCCCACTTTCATTAGCTTCTCACATCAAACTAGAGCCTCATCTAATGCTAGTGCTTCCCAAAGTGGTTGCCCAGGTCTTTTAGGAGTTCTTAGCAAAACTTCAATTTCACAAAAACATCACACAGATGGGAAATCAGCACAACAGCAAGGTATGTGAGAGTAACTCCTGATCAGGTTGAACTGTTCCACCACTGTTGATTCTCCAACCAAAAACACAATAAGTATATTCTCTTGGTAAAATGAAATATAAAATCTTGCGGATGTCGGGGCACATTTCTGGCTGATAATTAAGGAAATGTATGATTACATTTGTACTGGCACCTGGAATGATGAAATGGACTGTAACTATGCTCAAGGCACTTTCTATTTTTTATCAATTATCTATTTGATATTTTAGTACCACTATCATTATAATAATAATAATGATAGTGATTATTAATATTATTAACATATTTATTATTATTATTATTATTATTATTACACTATTTTTCTTTTATTACTATTGTTTTATTATTGTTTTGTTTTTTTCTTTAGTAGTAGAAGAAGGTAGTATTGTCTGCAGTCTGGGGAGAATTGTCTCTGTTTGTGGAGGTCTGTTTGTTTTGTTTGTTAGGTTGTTGTCTGTTTTCAGTTTAAAAATAGAGGGGACAGTGAATGTTACGAATATGAGGTATTGTAATCTGTGATGATCTGTCAAAATTCCAGGAAAATTGATTCCTATCAAAATAAAATCCTCATCCTCCGGGGAAGTTTTCAACACATTAGGGATGCTCTTTGGTACTTTCTACAACCATACCATTCTCTCACAGTCACTTATATCAACCAAATACTCCTCTCTTCAGGGTCGGGATCTGTATGTCTGGTTGCAATCTGTCTAGAGTTAACAGTCAGTCCTGTGTCCATATTACTAAGCTCAAGCACGATGCAATAGTATCATATAGTATAGCTAAAAAGTGAAAACCACACGTACTATGTGCTAAGTGAAAGGAATGTGTGTGTGTGTATGTATTCACATACGTGTGTATGTTGCTTAACAACACTTGGGTTTTCAGACACTAAAGCACACACTTCACCTCCGCAGTCCTCCACCGTGCCCAAGCAGCCCACTCAACCACCAGATTCAATATATTATTTTCTCAATTGGTCCTATTGAGTTTCCCCTGCCGCTCCTAAATGAGTTAGTCCTCAGAGAGCCGGCTGGGAATGAGGGCCCAGCAGCGCTGGAATTGCATTTCTGCTGCTCTGCGATCTACTTTCCTCAATTTAGTCACTGCTTCGTTTCAAACTGCATTTCCCAGAGTGCACCGCTCTTTGCCCTCGCTCTATCCTCATTCCATGAATCACCGCAATTTGCTATGACAACAGGGGAGCTATAGTCCCTACATGTCATGATCTAACAAGACTTCAATCACTCCATATTATGTTGGGGGGGAGTGGGGTCGACACAGATTTGCCTCCCTTTCTCTAGCCTCTGATGTGGGCCAGCTTCTCAATGTTTTAAGGTCTCTCCCAGCAGTGGTCAGCTCAATACTAATAAAACCATAATTTACTAGGCCGGGGTTCTGATTGATAGCTCTCTCAAGGCTCTATCGATCAGCCCTCTCTCATTCGAGTGAGCATCTTTTGTTAGGGCCAGCCACTTCCTTCCCCCTTGTCTCTTTGCATAAACGTTCTCTTAGTGACTAACAGCAATGCTTTTGGAATGGATAACAAACAGAGCCATTGGCATGCTGAGGCTGTGCTCTTTTATATACAGACTAAGCTGTTACATCTACTTTTTTCACAGAGTTAACTAAGCTACTATGTCTGCAAGCTCCTATGATGCAACAATGCTAACGCAGGGAATGAAGTTTCTG